GTTGTGTCCGGGATGTCCGGGGCGGGGCCCGGGAAAGGTGTCCGGGGCGGGGCCCGAGGGTGTCTGGGGCCGTTTTGGGTGTCCCGCCCATGTCCCGCCCATGTCCCGCCATGTCCCGCCCATGTCCCGCCATGTCCCGCCCGTGTCCCGCCATGTCCCGCCCGTGTCCCGCCATGTCCCGCCGTGTCCCGCCATGTCCCGCCCGTGTCCCGCCATGTCCCGCCCATGTCCCGCCCATGTCCCGCCCGTGTCCCGCCATGTCCCGCCCGTGTCCCGCCCGTGTCCCGCCCGTGTCCCGCCCATGTCCCAAGTGCCACGAGTGCTCAGACTTGTAGCTTTCTGCAGCTCCCGCGCATGGTTTTCAGAACTGGGCTTTTGCAGCTCACATTTTTACTGTGAACTGCTTATAGAAGCTTTGCTGTTTTGTGGTGCAAACGAAACTCGAGTGTTTTGCACACGGACAAGCTTTTGCATTCTGGAGTACCGTGGAAGAAGCATCTGGACTATTGCTGGCTCCGATACTTTGCCTACAGACTACTTTGTTTTGGGGCGTATCGGTACACTGCATTACAAGAAGCTGACAGAGGCGCGGAGCATCAGAATCGAACTCGTTCCGGTCCCAAGTCCGGACTGTGCAATGGTCTGGAGGTTGGTCCTTTGGGTTTTCACTCTAATCAGTTGCACAGGGCACGAGGGTGGCATCTGTGCCATGACAGATGCCGTAGCAACACCAGCTTCACAACGGATAGCTGGCATACCGGTTGCGAAGCACAATGGCGTATGGGCCACAGGGGACTTCGGTCTGATATCCTCTAGGAACAAGCAGATCATTGTCAAAAGAACTTTCAAAAGAGCCTGCAGGCGAGCTTTTCGCCTCGGCTCCACCATGTACAGGGGACGACCATTTACATTGCATGACATTCCCGAGGACATGCGACAGTGCCTGCATGCTGACTTGCAGTCCTCCACCCGTACCACGCAGCACTCTATATCTCCTGAACATATCAGACGTACTAAGCCGACGAAGCCGCGACTTAGTTATATGGTATGGAATGCTGGTGGTCTTCCTTATGATGAATTCATGATATGGACAACACAAGCCACGTATGACGTTTTGATAGTAGTGGAGACACGCATGAGTTTCACTTCGGAGTGGAAGCTTCCAGGATGGCATTGTGTGCACAGCGGCCATCGGAACTCTGGCATCTTGATCATGATCGCAGACAGGGTGTGCAACATGGACGGGGTCACCTGGAGAGAAGTACTACCGGGTCGACTTGTTCACCTTCGGCTGCATGGAAAGTCCAATATTTTTAATCTTATTGGGGCGTATCAGTATGTATGGAAGCCGCAGTCATCGAGTAGCATGGCGAATCGCAACAAATTTTGGAAACAAATGCAGAACACTCTACAGCAGTGTCCAAGTAGGGACATAACTCTCGTGCTGGGTGATTTTAACACTGATTTGGAACCTCGAAAGGGGCGTGTTGGCCCCATCAACTTGAATCAGTTGGCTCCGAACTTCACTCGATTTGAAGATCGAGAACAGCTTGGGCAGATCTTGGATTCGTTTAACCTGGTGATCCTTAATTCTTGGAATGGTTGGCATGCCACTTACAAGTTTGAGGGTGCCAATGAAGCTCAAAGCAGAATTGACTTTGCCATCACTCGCAGACCTCAGGCAGACATGCTGGCTCGTCACACTCAACTCCTCGATGATTTTCCGGTTGCTAGACATCGCACAGGATCAAGACATGTACCTGTAACGGGCACCATTCCTGTGGTCTGGACTCCTTGGAAGCCGAATCAGCCACCTGGAAACAAATTCACGGTCCAGCAGCGCAGGGATATTCATGAAGCATGCAAACTTCAGACAACACAGTGGTGTGCGTTCAGCAGCGCCGTGACCGTCGCCGTGCATGGGCTCTCGGATGGCACGTTTGAGCAGGTGGAGGCCATTCTGACTTCTAAAACACATCAATTCTTTCCGGCCGAGTCGCAGGTAGTGCGAAACAAGCCTTTTCAAGACCATGCCTTGGCAGGACAAACACGTCAGATGTGGAGCCTGCATGCCCAAATGAAGCGGTGTAATGGTCAGGACCTGCGATCTCTACTTCAAGCGTGGCGACTTCGTGCCCGTTTTCAGGCCATCAGCACTGCCCTGAGAAAGCGTTCCAAGGTGATTAGGCGTGAAAAACTGGAGACTTTTCTTCAGGAAGCATCCGAATGTGCACTCAAATACGATGCCGCGGGATGGTATAAACGTATCAACTCCCTTTGTCCTAGGCAGGAAGCTCGGCGGGTGCACATACATGATGCGAAGGGTCGGCCTCTCGGGCCAACAGGTTCACTAGAGTGCTTGCGCGAGTACTTTGGCGAGCTGTTCGGTGATTCAGACTTCAACTTGCAGTCCATGGAGCCCATGAGTGAACTCCCCTTCAGTCTAGATGATGTTCGTCAAGAGCTTCAAGCATTGCCAGCGCTAAAGGCGCTGATACCTTCTACGGCGCCGGCGACGGTGTGGAGGCAGCATGCTGGCTTGATTGCACCCTACCTCTATGCCAAATTGCAACAACATTGGTGTGGAGAGCATTGCAGCATGCCTTCCGATTGGCTGAATGGTCTTCTTGCCTTATTAAACAAGCCAGGAAAATCGCCGAATCGACCAGAACATCTTAGGGCTATATGCCTTCAGCATCCCGCCAGCAAAGTTGTGGCAGGTGTGGTGACAAAATTGGCAGCCGACCATGTGGCCCGGCTCTTTGAGTCTCTGCCCTGTTTTGCGTACCTTCCCTGCAGATCGACCGGACATTGCTTGCTCAGAGTATTTGAACATTGCCGAGCCGTTAGGTCATTGGTTACCAGCACCAGACAACACAATCGCACACATAGAGCCAAACATATGTTGACAGGCGGAGTACAAATTGCTCTGGACATGCAGAAGGCGTTCGATGTCGTGAACAGGCCGTTTGTGCTAGAGTGCATTGATGCAATCGAGCTGCCGCCTGACTTGTCTGTGGCCCTGAAAACCTCGGTTATGAATGGAACGTACACGATTCAACACAAAGGGGAGACAGGAACCGTTGCAGCCCGCAGAGGCATCAAGCAGGGAGCCAAAGACTCCCCTTTGATCTGGAACATCGTGATGTTGGGGGTGCTTCGGCGCCTCGAGGCCAAGCATGGGCGGGATTGGATTGCTAAGCATTTAACGATATTTGCTGATGACATTCACGGGGGATGGACGTTCACCAATGAAAACGAAGCTGGCAAAGCTATTGGTGATATCGGGGTCCTGCTTACAACGCTGGAGGAAATGAAATTCCGAATCAACTACAACAAGTCGGTCGCGATGATGGCTATCGCAGGTGCGAGGGCCACACAATTTCAATCCAAGTATGTTCATCGTTACAAGGAAGGACCTTTTCTTCGCTGTGTGGTCTCAACCGCAGATGTGAAGTTTCTACCTATGGTGAGCAAAACGGGCTATCTGGGGGCGAGCATCAGCTATCACCGATTTGAGCGTGACACCATAGATAGACGAGTCCAAGCTGCACAGACGGCGTTTGCTAGGCTCAAGAAGGTACTGTGCGACAGAGTTCACCATCGATTGGCGGACCGACTTCGGTTATACAACACATGTGTATGGTCTACTCTTACTTATGGGGTCCTCGAGGTTGGGGTCGACTCTTATGGCTTAGGTCGTATCCATCGTCTCGTGGCCAAGCACTTTCGAATCATGGTTCGAACTCGTGACCATGAACACCATGAAACCACTAGAGACCTCTTCGGCAGACTTGACCAGCCTCTTCCATGGCAACATCTTGCGACCATGTTGGCGGCGAAGCGTAAGAAACAGGAGTCTAATCGACGTCACATTCCAGCGCGAGACATCACTCGGTGGCTGGATCTTCCTTCCAGTCCAGCACTTATTGACAGTGCCACCGCTGAGAAGATCACGGGAACACAAGAAGAGAAATGCACTGTGGAGCCGACGCTATCTTGCCCAGACTGCAAGTTTACATGCCGCAGCGCTGCAGCACTTAAAACACATCAGCGCAATGAGCATCCGGATCGAGCCTCGAAGTCTTCTACCATTGTCTTCGAACCACTTCGTGATTCCTTTCAGGGCACAGCAGAGTCCAGGCATTGCGGCTTGAAGTTGCGGCACAAAACCAACTTGGTTCAGCATATCGTCGGCGGTGCATGTGCTAAGTTCGATGAGGATGCAGGCTTTGCCATTCAACCACTGTGGACCCGGACCGACTTCGAGTCTTCACTGGCTCAGGGGGGGGCTGTTAAGCTGCTCATGCAGGATCAATGCTGTGCTGCCATGCGCGGTGGTTGCGGTTTGTGTGGACAACAATGTACACTCAAGGGCTTGTCAAAGCACCTTGCATACAGTCATGGAGCTATTGCGCAATCCATCCGGGAGCGATCGAATGCTTTGCACAGGGAGGTTGTTGTTCCCAAAAGCAGCGGGGTCTGTAAATTTTGCATGGAGCGACTTTCAGGTAAATCGACTCATGTGTGCAATGTGGTGCTACATGCTGCTGCTCTCGAGTTTGTCTTCAAGTCCCAGCCGTCCAGTACAGCCGTTGAGGAGTCAAGGCCAAGTGATGCTGACGATGGGCGCCCAAGTACCTCAATCTCGAAGGCATTGCAGTCCGGAGCATCCGCCCAAGCCATCAGTTTGCCACGTGTGCATTGCCCGCATTGTTCTAGAGCTTTCTCTGACAAGGCGAAGCTCCGAGATCACCTGCGTCACAAGCCGCCCAAGTACAGGCCCCGATGCACTCAGGTGGAGCCAGGACGTGTAAGATGCAAACGGTGTGGTGAAGAGATGCCTGCATGCTTGTTTCCAGCACATTACCTTGATAAGCATGCTGCCGATGCCAAACAAGCTACGTTGGATGGCTCGAATCTCGTGACCAGAAAAGGACAGACCTTGGACCCAGCTCGCCGGGATCAGACCTCAGCCTGCACATCGACGGCAAGTAAAGATGACTGCGGCCAGCTTCTTCCAGGATCAGAGCTTCCCCGACCAGTGGATGGAGGGCGAAGATCAACCACACCTGGAGCTGATGGAGACCATGGCGCCTTTCATGACGGGTCACACGATGGGCCCGATGAACATGGCAGACGGTTTTCATTCCCTCTTCCAGACTCCCACGCCGAAACGACAGGGAATGATGAGAGGTCAGCATTCACAGAAGCGACAGCGCGGATCACAAGGTCATGCGCAGCAGGTGAGGGGCCCCGGTCCCGGTCTAGGACCCCAAGGCGTGTCGCTCCCGGCTCTGATACGGATGATGGCAATCCAGCTACAGCGCCAGGAAGAGGCATTGCGAGTACTGGCGCAAAGCACCGAAATGATGTTGTTCATGCAGGCAGGGCCAGGCTCTTATCTGCCCAACCTTCTGCAGTTGAGCCAGACGTGGCATCAGCAACAGGCGGCGAAGCAGGTGGACAAGCCATTGCGTCAACACATGTCGGTGGCTCTTTGGACGGAGCTCGGAGCACGGGTCACGAAGGCCCGAGAGCAAATAGCCCAGGAGCTGGGGCAGGGTCTGATGGCAAAAAAGATCCTCAATGCGGAAGGGTCTTGGGCATACATGGCGTGGGACCAGGCGACGAAAAGTCTGGTTCCCACGACGCGAGAGCCCATCAAGATGACGGACATGCACCAGCTGCTGAAGGTGATCATCGAGCACCTCAACATGCCTGGAATGGTCACGCGCTTCAAAGCACACAAGGCGCTAAAAACAGTGAACATGCAAGCGGCGGCCTGTGTAGTCCCGTGGCAGCTGGATATCTCCTTGCGCCACCCTCAAAGCTCGCGCTTGTGGACGAGTCTCGTGACACTTCAGGGGAATGGAGTGCTACAACTTCTCAACACACAGATGCGAGCGGCCACCCTTCGGCGGTCCAAATTGTGCGATCAGATTGCCCAGCAGGTGTTCAAGAAGAATGGCGGGGCTTTCTAAAGCAGCTGACACTTCACAATGCTGATCAATGCTGCTATGCCAACTCAGTGATCTCAGCTCACTTGTGGGCTTTGATGACGGGGCCCTCACCGCGTAGTGAGTCGATTTGGGTACAGCACCTACGTAGGACTTTGGTGGCGCATGAGTGGCAAGGTTACCTCAAACATCTCCCCCCGGTCGATTCCCTTATGAAAGACTGGTTCACCGAGCATAGCGATCAACGACAGCATGATGCCGCCGAGTTCTACCATTGGTGTATGCAGACTAGTCAGTTTCAACAGCATTCGGGGTATTGGTGGCGATTTGAAAAACATGCTTCGCTGCTAAATGTGTGCATCCCGCTCTTGCTGCAGCACGGCGCTTTGAGTCTGCAGTCGTCTATTTCGCAATGGCACAGGAGTTCTGACGTGGTACATGTTATGTGCTCCCAGGCCCAGTTCGTGTGCATGCAAATCGGAGACCGACTTCGAGCAGAACAGCCGCAATGGCCTGAGATACTTGATCCGGATTTTCGCTTGACTCTGCCTCACCTTGTGGATGACGCTGGAGTTCCATCAGATGATAACGTGGAGTGGCGAGCATACCAGGTCAGTGCATGTGTACTTCGCAAGGGGTTTCAGAGGGAACATGGGCATTGTCAGGCGATGCTCTTCAGCTCATCGGGCGTCTACTTGTGCGATGATGGCCGGAGTGCCAAGCTGCTCAACGATGGCGACGCCATTCAGGAGTTACAACACATGTACATGCTTTGGGTCGTGCGTGATCCTGATGCTCAGGTCCCCCAGTCATGGACATGTGAGGCAGATGATGCGATTGCTGCGGTGGCGGTGCCGAGCAACTCATCCCAGGCCTCGCTCCTGGGTGCGTCGTTTTCGATTGCCGATCTCTTGCAAGCTCACTTTGGATGAGGAGGGTGTCTTCACTTGAGTTGGTGACTTTGAGCGTGGCTGAGTTCCTTCTTTCTTAAGCTAATTTTAAGACGAGTGCGAGCTGCATGATGCATGTTTTGTTACACGGGTCCATTCGGGCCAACTTGACGACTGCTGGAGCGTGATGCCCTGAGCGCATTGCGTGAAATGTGCTCCCATGAATACAGCTTAGTTGCGGTAACAGATTTTCCAGTGCCCAGTTCTAGATCAAGAAAGGTGGGCCCCAAGATGCCAGCACTGGAATCTTAAGCTGTTGTTTCCGAGTAACATCATTGGGCCAGGGAACTAGAACAAAATCAAGACTCCCACAAGAAGGAGCCCTGGACCATGTAAGACGCTACTGTGCATAGTTTCAAGGAGTGGCCGCCGAGCTGGGGCACTTGCGGGGGTGCGGTGCAGGTTGGAGCTTGGAGCCGATTATAAACCGACCATCCTTTGGTCAAATGAATTCTCTTTTGGTGATGCCTGGGAGAACCCGTTGAGGCATTACATCGTTAAGTCGATATGTTTTTGAATTCGTTTTGAACTTCGCTCATTAATTTGTTTTGGCTCGTACTCGGATGCTCTTTGGTGTGAGACCATACGCAGTCACACACATCTGTATAGCATTATGGGAGGGTGTTTTGGCCACTTTTGTACAGTTTTAGTGGGCCAAAACGACACCAAAATTATGATGCGCGCGGGGGGGGGTTGAGAACGTGAATGGCTTTCGAGGATGAAACTCCTCGTTCATGGCCTTTCCTTTTGCATGTTTTTGTACTTTAATCCAAACTTCTATTTGGTCGCACTCTTCAATTTCATTTCCCGCATCTTTTCTGTAGTTCTTATGGCTGGGCTGCAAAGGCTTTCTAAGGCACCACGGTGCACGGCCTGCGCCTATGCTGTCTGTTTGTGATTGTCCTAGGGGTAAGCTCGTCTTTAAGACGACCTGTATTGTGTACAGTCAACGATACAGTAGGCCCACGACAGCGTCGGAGACGACAGCTTCGTTGCAAAGCAAAAGCCCATGTCCCGCCCATGTCCGGCCACTGTCCCGCCCCTGTCCCGCCAATGTCCCGCCATGTCCCGCCCATGTCCCGCCATGTCCCGCCCATGTCCCGCCATGTCCCGCCCACGTCCCGCCATGTCCCGCCCTTGTCCCGCCCGAGTTCCGCCCAGCCCCGGTCCCGCCCACGTCTCATGATGTCCTTTGCGTCCTCTAAACTCTTTGCACAGCAGCCGATATCTCTCGAGGCTTTGTTTGTGTTAGCAGCAAAGAAAAAAAGCGCCAGGGGTATGCCTGGCAAACGCAAACGAGGTGACTCTCCAGTGCATGAGACCGATGCGACCCAGGAGCCGGGCAGCAGTGTGATCACCCGTGTGATCACCCGCACACAGGAGCGATCCGAGCGATCCCGATCCCCGCGAGGGGAAAGGGTTGCGACTATCATTTGGAAGTGGTGCTGGAAACGAATGGAGACAGATGATGGGACCATTTGGTGGTGGCAATGGTGGAAGGAAGGGTCAACGAATGGAGACAGATGATGGGACCATTTGGTGGTGGCAATGGTGGAAGGAAGGGTCCAGAATCTGAGTGCGGTTTTTTTTCGGGTCAGCTCGACAATAAGAGTTTGCGGTGGAATGCTGTCGCCGACAATAAGAGTTTGCGGTGGAATGCTGTCGCCGAATTGCATGACTCAGAGATTGCATGATTGCCTGTCTCAAGGCCTTGCATGGAAATGGAAACAAGTGCATTGCAAGGGTAGACTGTGCCACCCAATTGCCTGACTGAGAGACTGCATTGCATGATTGCTTGTCTTTTTTCCGTGGGTGGAAATGTTTACATCAGTCCTGAGTTTGTCACTGAGAGTGAGCAAAGCCAGTTCCAAGAATAGCGTAGACAGCCGGAGTCATCATCCTGATTTCTTTTCTTTCTCAAGCCAAGCTTTTGTTTTTAGTGGGTTGCAGCATGATGGAGACTGGGGCAGCGAAGCTCCTGTATGCGATGAGTCCTTGGAGCTCAAAGCTGGGGCGTGCACCTGTGGTTGCTGAGCCCTGTGTAGGCATCTCTGCTTATCGAGAGTGGATGCAGAAAGCAGGGCTTGTTTACAGGCCATGCGCAGCCTACGATTTCAACATGGACTTGGTGCCGTTTTGGCGAGCTCTGCGAAACCAGGGTTTGCAGGGGACTTCGGAAGTCAAACTGGGTTTGCAAGAAGGGGACATCGAGAGGAATGTCGTGCTGTCAAAACTGTCAAGTGCGGAAGGCTTGATAAGCGGGCCCCCTTGTCAGCCTTTTGCCTCCACAGGTTTAAGGCAGGGCGCCCAGGACGAAAAAGGCCGCACAGATGTTTTTGAATCAGTTGTAAGCATGATATGTGAGGAAGGCTCGCGTGGCTGTCTTCTGTTTTTCATTCTGGAAAACAGCTCACATTTGGCTGATGCCAACCATGCTGAGTTTCTGAATGAGATGCTCTTGAGACTTGAAGTGTCACTGCCATATTTTTTGGTAGACACCGTGAAAAAGGATGCTGCGGAGTTTCTGCCAGTCAAGAGAGGTCGTTTTTTCATCAGAGGGCTAAGGAGAGACTGCCTGCCAGACCCCATGCAGGCGTTCCTCCCTGCCCCCCTGTGCTGCACGGATCTGCTCCCGGCAGTCACAGTGGAAGAGATTTTGGATCTGAGCTTGGCTGCGACCGATGTGCAGAGTTTGTGTGCAGGGCACGCTGCTAACCTCGCATTGTACAAGCAGACCATATCTCAGTGCATCGAAGAGCATCGTGCCCAAGGCAAGCCGCTGCCCTCGAACACGGTTGTTGTGGAGCTCGACCGAAACCCCTTGAGAACTTTCGGCGGGAAGTGGGGTTGGGGCAAGATCCCATCACTGAGGACTACGGGGCCACCTTTGTTTCTTCTGAGTTGCGAGGACTTGTCGAGGCCATGGCAGGTCATGCGACTGCACAGGTGGCTCAGCATCGCTGAGCGGTGCAGCGCTCTGGGGCAGCGTGCAAGCCACGCGGCCTTGTTCTCGAGAGACACCCATGCCCTGCATGCGATCGGGAACGCTCTCTCGCCAGTGCAGCTGGCCGCTGTTGCCTCGCCGCTCGTGGAGGCAGCGGTCAACTCTGGCGTGCTCACTGCAGGCAACCGTTGCAAAGCCTGCGCAGTGGAGCTTCTGCCGCACACGAAGCCACCGGGTACATCAGCAGCTTGTATCCTTGAAGAGACCCCGAGGCCAAGCGCCACAAAAGGTTCCAAACCAAAGGCTGCAGTTGAAGAGGCAACACAAAAGACTCGAAAACCGAGGGCCAAAAGCAGTGCAAAGCCGAAGGCTTCAACTGAAGAGGCAAGCCCAAAGACCCGAACCCCGAAGGCCAAAACAGCTACAAAGCCAAAGGTTTCAACTGAAGAGGTAACCCCAAAGACTCGCAACCCCAAGGCCAACAGGGTTCGAAAGCCAAGGGCTCCAACTGAAGAGGAAGCTCCAAAGACTCTGCCTCGTGACACCAGCGCAAAGCCAGAGGCTTCAGCTGAAGAGGAAGCCCCAAAGACTCTGCCTCGTGACACCAGCACAAAGCCAGAGGCTTCAGCTGAAGAGGAAGCCCCAAAGACTCTGCCTCGTGACCGTGACACCAGCACAAAGCCGGGGGCTTCAGCTGAAGAGGAAGCCCCAAAGACTCTGCCTCGTGACACCAGCACAAAGCCGGAGGCTTCAGCTGAAGAGGAAGCCCCAAAGACTCTGCCTCGTGACACCAGCACAGCTGGTTTAGATGGCACCCAGGACTTACCACGTCACCAGCCAGAAGGCAGCACCCAGGACTTACCACGTCACCAGCCAGAAGGCAGCACCCAGGACTTACCACGTCACCAGTCCGATGACTTGGAGCTAGAGCTTGAGCGACTGGTTGACGAGCTTTTTTCGGATGATGATCCGGGCATGGACGTTGATGATGCTGCGCCACAGAGTCCACTCGTCCTGAGTGAGAAAGCAACACACCTCTTCGAGTGTTTGGCTAAAGCCAAAGCTTCATCCAAAAACTGGCTCTCGCCAGCAAGCAAGAGCTCCAAGAACGAATCTGAGCCAGCACAAAGCTCCGGAAGCAAGGTTGGCGACAGACGGAGGCGTTCTACTAGCTCAGGGCGAGACATGCCAGAGAATGCTCAGCGCAAGCTGCGTTTCCCACCTCACTTGAACCTGCCAAAAGAAGCGATCCACCTCTCGGATTCCGACTAGCGCTTCTAAGCGGTGTCGGTTGCCATGGTGGCGGTCTGCCTGTTCGTAGATAGGACCTGCTAGGATGGTAGGTGGATGAGCAGATGTGTGTGTGTGTGTGTCACACAGCAAGCTTGAGAATAGTGCAAAACAGTCTTCCGATAACCCTTCTGTGTTCGCTGAGTAAGCTTGCCGGGTAGTTCCCTGATGACAGCCATTGAACTCAGGGTTCTTGTTTTTGTGTCTTGCAGCGATTTGTTTGGCTCCACAAGCCCCTCAGCTCCCACACTCGTGCTCCCCTGCCCCGCAGCAAGCATGACAGATGCCCCGGACCAGGAGATGCCTCAGAGCATCATGTGCATCAGGTGTGAGGAAGAGACAAGCATCTTGACGAGCTACCCAACTGGAAGGAACTGCTTGAGGCGGATCTGCTCCTGCTGTTCGTCCACAGACCGGTGCCTCTCTCGGATGGCTAAAGCACCGAAGAAGGGCTCTGCCGAAGAAGCCAAAGAAAGCGAGGAGGCCAAGAAAGCTCGAAAAAGCGCTGAGGCCCTGAGGGGAAGCGTGGCCAAGATGGGTTCCTCGGAGCGTGCCCAGTGGTACCGCCAAGAGAAACGGAAGCGGGCAACCGAGTCAAAGAAAAGCCGCAGGACCTTCGCAACGGCAGTGGGGGCCTTGGAAGAGACTCGCCAGACTGGGAACGGAGATTGCAGCGGCTCACGATACATGACCCCCCGCGACTGGTGCGCACGGGAAATGATCCTGAAGCAGTACAGTACCTTGGAGG